ATGTAAGAACAGCTGTAAGACATCTTGAAAAGATCAAATAATTTTGCACATCATAGGCACTTTATAGAAAAGCTTCATTATCATGTATTCTTATCTTGATGCTGAACTATTTAATTTCACCGCACATATACATGTGTACATGCTTATATATTACTATCATACTTTTTGTGTCTTCATAGTTAATTTTAGATCAGCACATAAAATAAAATTTTGGTATTCCCCTAGTAGAATATCTTCAACACCTTTCATACATAATCTTTTACAGATCATTTAACATCATCAAATAATGTTGGATGGAAAATGAGACTGAAAAATATAACAAATGGTCCCATTTATACATATATCAAAACAGACGAAAATGGTAATATTAAATGGGGCGTGCGACATTATATTCCAAGAACATCAAGATCACTACAATATACTGCAATAAATAATTAAATAAGTTCCTAAAAGATATATTTTATAGAATTATTGTCTTATAAATTAATATTAAATTTGACAAAGAGAAATATCTTTAATCTAAAAATAATGAAATATTGCTGAGAGATAGAAAAATAAAGTTTTGAAAATCGAATACAATGTAATACATACATTCTATATTTGTGTTTATGATTCCAAGCTAAGCAGTTCCACGTATCTTTTTTGCATTTCTATCAAAAGATTATCTAACCTGGCGAAATAAAAGATAAAAATATTTTATACTTTCATTTTATATACACTTATATATGTACTTATTTCTTAGATAGTAATTCATAATATGAAACATACGTGTAACGTATTACTAAGTTATCATATATTACATCATTTTCTGTGTTTAGCTTTTCCTTATGTTTCATACTAGATATATTTAGAAATTGATTACTATCAAATTCATTTGATATTTCCGTACTATCGTGTAATAAAACGTTTGTAGCTTTATTTGTAGAGGTAGATAGACTTAAATATTCTTTATTAGAAATATCGAACACATTGGAAGTGAGATGTTGTGTTATATTTTGAAGTTCTTCACAGTACACTGTCTTCATAGCAATAACTGAGTCAAAAATCATTTCCAATGTTCGGAGTTCTGATTCCAATTTCGCCATTTGTCTGAAAATATTATATCAATGTAAGATACATCAATTATAGTTTAATATACAATATATTCATTGGCCATATACATACTTTATAATTTCAGAAATATTGTGAAACTCTACTCCTTGTACTTTCAAGAATTCAAAAATTAATTTTGCTATTTCTGTTGGTCTTGCATATTTATGAGAATATTCATCTTTATGCAATTCATAGATTTTTTCGATTTTATTATATCTGTTTAAAATTCAAATATGATAGTAAAAAAGTAAAGGACAATATTAAAAATAGGCGGTGGATTTTGATACAAATCGGAAAGAAAAAATTTTGTTCAAAAAGTTTTATCATCTATAAAATAAACAATTATTTGTCTTTGATCGTTCAGAGTATTAGTAATGTATTACAAAAGAATTGCTTGTTGCCAATGAATTATTGATGATGATTTATTTATTATTATGAAAGTGAGATCAATAAGTTGCTGTTAAATAAATTATAATCACAGTCATATATGTATCCTTGTATTTAACCGCATTTATTATAACATTTCCAATGTTTGTCGGAAAAATAACTACTACTACACTTCTTACCCTTTAGCGCACAATCGTACTATAAAAGAATTTTTCTCAATTAGTATCAAAATTCATTTTTAACATTGTCCTTTACTCACATTTCAAACATATCTTTAATACAATCAATAGATTTTACTTCATTGCTTAATCTACTGCTTTCTACTATCAATGGATTAAATTTTAATTTTATTTGATTAGCAGCCTTAACAAGTTTAGCAACTTTTTTACAATTCATTTCCAAAGCTGTCAATTTCTTCTTATTTATTGTTCCTCCTTCCCATTTAATACGAACTATAGATAGTTCACTTAGAAGATTATTTATATTTGTTAATGTATTTGTCATATTTTTATTAAATGTATCAAGTTTTTCGATTACCAAATCTCTGAAATATTATACAGTATATATGTATATAAGTAAAATTCTATAATAAACCACTACTAATTTCATAGATGAATCTGCGGATAGATTACAAACTAATATATAAAAGTATATATAAAATACTTACAATTTTATAGTTAAGGCAAAAATATACAATTGAAACAAATTTATTTGTTGCCTGATAAAAAATATTGTTACTCTGTAATAATCTTGTAATGTTTCAAAATCCAACAGACCTTTTGGCAATTCTATCATATTTCGAATTTCCATAGGGATTGCTGGTATAGGGATGGTCTCTATTAAAGGACTCTCATTTTTAAAGACAAATAAATCTGTATTCTATAGGGAAATTGATAGTTTAAATCAAAATAATACTATATAAAATAAATTTATATATTGCATACTAACATAAAAAAATACAAAGCATTATATCATCATACCTGAATTTGTGATAAAAGTGGTGTTTGATTTTCAATAAGAATTTTACCAAAATAATCTGTTAAAGTTTGTTGGTTTATTGGTATATCAATATCCTTTTCAATCATATATTGTAAATCTGTAACCTTAGTAGTGCTATCTATTTCATATGTATTAATTTTATACATCGATGCAACAAACACATGAACTATCTGAAAAAAGTTAAAATGTTATTTATATTTTAAATAATTATGTAAATTTTTCAAATACCAATATATGAAAAATGTTACATTAAAATACCTGTTTTGATAAAATAGAATGCAGTAATTCAAATACCACAAGCTTCGATATTCCACTTTCATATTGTTTCCCTCTTTTCTTTGGATCCCATTGTAACACAACCTTAAACCATTCTATTAATTTATTTCGAAGATTTCTAATAAAAAATATAACCAGTTTAAATAAAATTAATATTTTATTATTTTTCATTTTATCAAACAATGTTATAGTTGTTACTTTGATAAGTTTGTAGGGCCAGTAATATCTTGACCAAAAACTACCTTCCCTTTTGATTTGAAAGCACAGATATCATCATATCTTTTATTTCTAATATGTTGCATCCTAAAAAATATATAAGTTAACCAATGTTTAAATTTTTGTTATAAACTTTTCATAATTATATAGCATACCATGACATAGTATGTTGCATTTTAGGTAAAAATGGTCTTGTTCCAGTAACAAGTTCATAAAAAAGAATGCCTAAACTCCAATAGTCTACAGAACAACTATATGTTTGTTTCCATAATAGTTCTGGAGCTATATAATTTAATGTACCTACTAAAGATCCAGATGTACTATCCTCTCCAAGTTCTTTTGCGTATCCTAAATCTATTAATTTATATGAAATCTAAAATATATTTTATGTATATGTTATTAATATCATTTGTAATATATTGAATAAAATCTACATTTAATACAATATTGCTTACGATGTCACATTCATCTTGTAAAACTATATTTTCAGGTTTCAGATCACGATGAGTAATGTTATTGGAATGTAAGTATTCAATCGCAGAAGAAATATCTTTCATTACACTAATTGCTTCTTTTTCACTAACACCACAACAATTTTCCACTTTCCTTAGAACCTGCAATTTAACAAACATTGCTAATATAAATATAACTATCGTTTCATTGATTGAGAGATAAGTTATATATTGATATTTACCTTTCTCAGATCGCCTTTCCTACAAAATTCCATACATAATAAAGGTAAATCTACTTTATCGTCAGGATGTTTAAATGGTAAATTTAACCCTTTAACAATATTTGGATGCTTTAAACGTTTCATTATCTGTACCTCATTAATCCATCTTTTTCGTTGTGCTTCTTTTAATTGTGCAACCTCCCGTTTGCATATTTTAATTGCTAGAGTTTTCATAAAATATTAAATATTAAATCTTATTGGTTTATTTTCTTTGTTAAAGAATAAAAAAACATACCAAGCTTTTTACCACTTTTATGTATCCAAAGTTCGACGATACCAAATCCTCCAGAACCTAAAACTTTGTCTAGGCTCCAACCTTCAATAAATGCTGGTGTAGCAGTCATATTAAATGCTTTGCCTAAACATTATTTAAATTATAGATATTGAAATTTTTTGAAAAGATTCAGATTAAAATATAAAAAAATACTGCTAGCTCTTTTTCCCTTTGGGCATATACATACATCAGTTGTATAATTGTTACCAATTATCACGGCTATACAACGATCATATTTATAATATATTAATTTTTTAAACATCCGACATATATGACAGGTTAATGTCATACTGCCAACATAAAACTTTGCGTTACAAATTCTATAAAACAGCAATTATGTATTATCTTATCAATTATCGCCATACGTTATACTATTAGAAAATAGACGAAATTTTATAATAATTTACATGAAAATTCAAATTCTAATATGATAGTAATAGATTTCCTCCCTGATAATAGTATACTTTGATCAAATTTTAACAAATTCAATTAAACAATTATTAATGCTTCATAGATGTTATTAACAACTTAATTGTTGTCATTGATTAATTAGTAAGCATGCGTCTGTACAATACTGTTTAACGTTTAATATTACCGATATTTAAAAGCAATATAATGCTAATAAGTATTATATCCTTTTAGGATATCTTAAAATTTGATATTAAACAACAAGCTTGTTTACAAACACACACACACACACACACACAGTTATATTTGCTTATGCAAGTACCTGAAATATGTAGGTGTAGTGGGTGCTATACCTTGCACTTTCCCAAATTTTAAAGTGTATGGATCCTACTTTGTTATATACAAAATAAAAAACTTTAACTTATGAAAACATACTATTTAAATAATATGAACCAATTTTGATAAAATATAGGATTAACATTCACAGGCGCGCGCGCGCGTGCGCGCACACACACATTTACACAAAATTGTGAAAACAAATTTTTTTCCGCGATGTACTGACAATTTTTTAAAACGAAATATGTATTTGAAATGTACATATATCTGAAATATATATTTAATTGAATGAGATATATAATTCAAAAGGATAACAATTTTCAATAGTACGTATGTATACAATTTATTTTGGATGCTGTTTAATCCAATGGAGGGTGGCGCTTTGGGCAGTCCGGTTTTTGAAGAAATATGGCGGATGTCGAGGTGAGTCTGTCACGTGGAAGTTCAGAAACTGTATTATTGTCTTGTAATTAATAACTACTTAAATTTGATTTTGTTACAGTTAACGAAAGCATTAAAAGATTTGCCAAACCGAGTTCAAACCGCCAGTAAAAACGAGCGGCGAGAGATTCTACAAAATGTCGTCAATGTATTGTCAAATCCTGGTAAGAAACGAAAATGCGAATAAACTTTTGATAAAAATGTATAACTTTTTAAATCGAAAATATCTGTTCATAGAGAAAGGAAATTATATTGTATCCTATAAATATATTTTGAAATTAATATAGAGAGAAAGATAATATTGAATATTAGAATTTAAATAATATACAAGACTGAATGTATATTACTACTTATTTTTTTTTATTATAATATTTACAATATATATATAATTCGCATTTATAATTCTTAATCTTTCGATTTTTTCCTACTTTCAATATACATCCTAAATATTAATATGTTGATGTAGATTTAATATTTATTCAATTACATGAGATATGTAAAATTATATATAGTAATTAATGTATCTCAGTCATATGTATCTAGTATTATATATTTTTATATATAATGTTATGTTGTATAAAATAAGTATAAAATTATCCTTTATTAATCTCACTATAAAAATAAATAAATAATTACATTATTTTAATTTTTATATTATAAAACGATGCAAAATATATGTATACTATTACATTATAATTATGTGTAAGATATTTATTTTTATAATTTATATAAGAGGAAAATGTATAAAATAAAATTCTGCTTATAAGTAGTTGTATAAATTCATATTACAAATGGTTGAAGGAATATTCATAATATGTCAATATATAACATTTATTAAATTTCTATATTTATAGGCATCAATGAGAAAATTGTTAATGGAATTTGCAAAACCGTATCTCTTACTTTACATCGATATAAGGATACTACTTCCCAATCTTACGTGAAAAATTTAATTGAAGAATTGTTGAGAAAGCAACCAGCACCTTCAATAAAGCATATGACAAATGTTGTCATAGAACAAGCTACATGGCATAAAAATGTAGTTCCTACGTACGTAATTACATACATAGTTCTCCAAATGCATATATTTAAAAAAAAGATTTATATTTTGAACTATGTATTAATGTTCATAAGTTACTAACAAAATGTTATTTTGTAGTCTGAATACAGCTTTAACGGCGTATCTTGCATTAAAGTGGTCAACATTAATTGTTCTACACGGAAACAAAAGCAATTCAGACATCAATCCGGAATTACCAAAACTCATTGAAGCACAAGCAAATTTGAGTGCAGCAGCTTTGGCATCCATGGATAAAAAATTGACGCAGAAAGTATATGTTTTATTAGCGCATCAATGGTTGAGTGTTAAAGATATTGATATTGTGTATTTAGAGACACTAACAAAATTGGAAGTTGGAAACGGTGTAATTGTTCTTGCTAGTTTACTCACTAAGTATTTAGTTAATGCAAAGAAAAGTGAATTAGTGGTGAAACTGAAGGTAAATTTATATTTGATAATATATTTTTGTGTTGAAAAATCTGTTTTTATATCAGTAATATCTTTTATTCTTTGTAGTAAATATTATCAAATAAATATTTGTTTTTCTTTTCAGACAAACACCATAGATGCTTTCATAAAACTAACTATTAGTTGTAAGAAAAAACCAGATCTATATGTTGTTCATAATGCTATACCTCTTCTCCGTAGAATATCTCATGACGAGTTTAAAAGTCAACTATTACCGGCTTTGCAAAAAGCTATGTTAAGAAATCCAGAAATTATCATTGAATCGGTTGGATATATTCTAAGTGGTTTAAGTCTCGATTTAAGTCAGTATAGTCAAGATATAAGTAAAGGATTATTTGCCAATTTGCATTCAAAGGAAGATTTAGTTAGAGATGAAGCTGTAGGAGCTTGTCGTAGACTTGCTCTTCAATGTTCAGATAATATTGCTTTGGAAAATTTATTGTCATCCGTATTTGCTGTATTTCATGGATCAGAAGGAAAACTTACAGTTGCAACTCATAAAATTTCCGTCTTACAAGGTGCTGGCAATCTTAGTTACAATGCAGCTTCAGGAAGTAGCGTTGAAAAATTAGCTGAAACAGCTTGTGAACATTTTATCAAAGTTCTTGAAACTGAGGTTCATGAGAAAACTTTAATTTATGCTCTTGAAATGATGGCCTTGTGGTCCAATAAATTTACAAATAATGTTCCAAAATGTGTAATAGATGCATTTAAAAAGGGCATGAATGCTAAAACTTCAACTGCGGCAGTGCGTACTGCTTATATTAAACTCTTCTTTTCTACTCCAGTAGCTTCTTATTCTGCAGCAATAACTCCATTACTTGTACAAGCAATAATAAGAGCTATGCAACAATCTGCACAGCCAGCTGCAGTTACAGAGGGTTTAGTGGCTTCTTATTTGTTACTGAAATTTGTTCTTGCTAATCAAGTGGAGAATGACAAACAAACTGTATTATGGAATGCTATTGACGAGCAAATATTCTTTTCGGAAAAATTTTTGTCAGCTTGTGGAGATGATATATTATATCACCTCATGCTGCTTTGTGAAAGACTAATTACTGAATTCGGAGATAGATTAAATGAAAAAGCTCTAAACGGTGTACATAGAGCAATTGTGGCATGTGCAACAGCCCCCAAATATAAAATAAGGAAACGTTGTTTTCCATTAATTAAAAAAGTTTTAACTGGCTTGAGTACATATGATCCTGCACAAGAACTATTAATGGAATATAATAAATTCTTAGAAAATGTAAAAATCAAGTCTGAACATGATAAAGAAAATAAAGAAGATTCTTCTAGTTGCGAGACAACTGGCAGATGTCTTGCAGATGGATTACTTGCTATTTGTTCAGGTTCTTTTTTGTTTGAATTACCTGCTATGCAAATGACAAGAGATGCATTAATACCATCTCATCATCCTGCAATCTATAAAGCAATGCCAAACTTATGGTTCAAAGTTGCAAAGAATTTTAATCTTGTTCCAAAAAATTTTTTATGTTCATTTAATCATGAAATTAAAAAAATACTTGTGCAAAATTATAAGCCTGTTGCTAGTTATGAAAATGCGTTGACAAAAGTGATATCAATTATACCAGACATCATACTACCTGCAATAGTGTCAAACATTACAAATAAGCTTGATGATCCAGAGGTCTTAAAAGTCACTAAAGACGAATACTTTACTTATCTTACTCCAGAGGGGGAATTATATGACAAAAGCGTATTACCAACAAGCGATGAAAATGATATTCTTAATTCAATGAACATGAAAAGAGAGAGTAAGGTGTATTCGTTTAAAGAACAGCAAGAAGAATTGCAACTTAGGCGAGAATTATATGAAAAACGAAAGAAAGAAGGAAAAATAAAGGAACCTAAATTAACACCCAAACAAGAAGAAATCCTTAAGGCACAAATGGCAAAAGAAAATGCAATCCGTAAAAGATTGACAGAACTGAAACATAGAATAAATAATGCTGTATCTCTAATTATATGTTCTATGCATGGAAATGGACAAGAATTGTCTTTTTATTTAAAAGATTTTCTACTTCCGATTTTGAAAAACTTAAGATCACCATTAGCTGCTCCTGCAATGTGTGATCTTTATATCCGATTAAAGAGGATTGTGAAAATAAATAATCCAGTTCTTAGTGATTTAGTAGCACATGTTACGTTACGACAATTACAACCACAATGTGATCTGAATCAAGCTTGGGAAGAGGAAAATCTTGATACAGCGGTAAAGAGAACTTTAAATCTTTTACACACAACAACAATAAAACAAAAGAAGTTGTTTACAGCTCCGACCTTTTGCTATGTCTTTCCATTTATAAAAAAGACCTTATTATCTTATAAGGACGATAATATGATTGTTCAAGGATTACAGATAATACAAGAACATGCTAAACAAAGAGGAAGTTCTGATTTTAAAGATATGAGACATCCCCAATTGCTTCCGCGTAAACATATGTTTGATCTATTAATAGAATTAATGGAAATCACAAGCGGAAGAGTACAATCACATGCAGTTGCAACATTGCTAGATGTCGCTCAATCCGGTAGCGGTCAACCAGGTACTGCAATAGCAACTAGTGAAGATATAGATTCTTTAATTGGTGCATTACAAAATTCTTTATCTACAATAAGAGATGCAGCATTAAGAGCATTAACAGTCGTGAAACAAGCTTTTCCATCTCAGAAAGAGGATGCTGACCAACTATCTCATCTTGTTAGGAAAATATGGATTGCTAAGTTCGATGTTTGCGATGAGAATAAAATTCTTGCTAATGAGTTATGGAATGCTGCAGATTTAGTAATGCATACAGAAATACTTTCTGATGAACTGATCCAAGACATTACACATCCTGTAGAACCTATACAGCAAGCAGCTGCTTGTGCTTTGGCGCAGTGTTTAACTGATGTTCCCCACCTAGTACCAGAAATTTTGGACAAATTACTACAGCTGTATCAAGAAAAGTTAGCCATGATTCCACCAAAATTGAATGATTTTGGACGCGTGGTTGAACAGCCGATTGATACTTGGGGTCCAAGACGAGGTGTAGCACTTGCATTGGCTCAAATGGCAGCTCTTCTCAGTGCTGATACAGTACTTAAACTTGTGCAATTTTTCGTCTCTACTGGTTTAGGAGATAGAAATCAAACTGTTCGAACAGAAATGTTAACTGCTGCTGTAGCTGTTGTTGATCTTCATGGAAAAGCAAATATAACTTCTTTATTACCGGTTTTTGAAGACTTTATGGATAAAGCACCAAAAATTGGCAGTTTCGATTCAATCAAACAATCTGTAGTTATTCTTATGGGGTCACTAGCAAGACACTTGGACAAAGATGATTCACGTATTAAACCAATAGTTATGCGTTTAATCGCGGCTCTTTCCACACCATCGCAACAAGTGCAGGAAGCAGTAGCCAATTGTTTACCACATCTTGTACCTTCTATTAAGGAAGATGCACCAAAGATTGTGGACAAATTAATGGACCAATTGTTAAAATCAGACAAATATGGGGAACGTAAAGGTGCGGCTTACGGTTTAGCAGGTATAATCAAGGGTATGGGGATACTAGCATTAAAACAACTTGATATTATGACCACATTAACTAATGCCATTCAGGATAAGAAAAACTATAGGCATCGGGAAGGAGCGTTATTTGCTTTCGAAATGTTATGTACAATGCTTGGTAGGTTATTTGAACCATACATCGTTCACGTATTACCACATTTGTTGCTGTGCTTTGGAGATTCAAGTCAATATGTCAGAGCTGCTACCGATGATACAGCTCGTGTAGTTATGAGTAAATTATCTGCACATGGGGTAAAGCTTGTTTTACCTAGTTTATTAGCAGCATTAGAAGAAGATTCTTGGAGGACTAAAACTGGTAAATAATTTAAATATTAATGTTATTTAAATTAATAATCATGTTCTAGATATTACATAATTTTGTTTGCGTTTTTAAGGATCTGTTGAGTTATTAGGTGCAATGGCGTATTGTGCACCAAAACAGCTTAGTAGTTGTTTGCCAAGTATAGTTCCAAAGCTAATCGAAGTACTTAGTGATTCACATACAAAAGTTCAAGAGGCTGGTGCAGAAGCTCTTAAAGTTATTGGAAGTGTAATTCGTAATCCAGAGATTCAAGCTATTGTACCAGTTTTATTGAAAGCCTTACAAGATCCTTCTCATAAAACAGCTACTTGTCTTCAAACTCTTTTAGATACTCAGTTCGTACATTTTATCGATGCTCCATCATTAGCTCTTATTATGCCTGTAGTACAACGAGCATTTTTGGATCGTTCAACAGAAACAAGAAAAATGGCTGCCCAAATTATTGGAAATATGTATTCTTTAACCGATCAAAAAGATTTAACTCCATATTTGCCAACAATCATCCCTGGCTTAAAAACGAGTTTATTAGATCCTGTACCAGAAGTACGAAGTGTATCTGCAAGAGCATTAGGTGCTATGGTACGAGGAATGGGTGAATCTAGCTTTGAAGATTTACTTCCTTGGTTAATGCAAACGCTTACATCTGAAACAAGTAGCGTTGATCGATCAGGTGCTGCACAAGGCCTTTCAGAAGTTGTGAGGGGATTAGGTGTTGAAAAACTTCACAAACTTATGCCTGAAATTATTAGTACTGCCGAAAGAACCGACATAGCTCCACATGTTAAGGATGGTTATATTATGATGTTTATTTATATGCCAAGTGCATTTACTACAGAATTTACACCCTATATTGGACAAATTATTAATCCTATTTTGAAAGCTTTAGCTGATGAGAATGAATACGTTCGTGAAACAGCACTTAGAGCGGGCCAACGTATCGTTAATCTTTATGCTGATTCTGCTATTATGTTGTTATTACCAGAATTGGAAAAGAGTCTCTTTGATGATAATTGGCGTATTAGATACTCATCGGTTCAATTACTTGGTGATTTGTTATATCGAATTTCTGGAGTTTCGGGGAAGATGTCAACAGAAACAGCAAGCGAAGATGATAATTTTGGAACTGAACAGTCACATTATGCCATTATTAACGCACTTGGTGCTGAAAGGCGAAATCGTGTTTTAGCGGGATTATACATGGGTAGATCGGATGTTGCATTGATGGTACGCCAAGCTGCTCTTCATGTATGGAAAGTTGTTGTAACGAATACACCGAGAACTTTAAGGGAAATATTACCGACATTGTTTACTTTATTACTTGGCTGTCTAGCTAGTACAAGTAATGATAAAAGACAGGTGGCAGCGAGGACTTTAGGAGATCTAGTTAGAAAATTAGGTGAAAGGGTGTTACCAGAAATCATACCTATTTTAGAGAAAGGTTTACAAAGTGATCAGGCTGATCAACGTCAAGGTGTATGCATTGGATTATCAGAAATTATGACAAGTACAAATAAAGACATGGTGATAACCTTTGTAGTCAGTTTAGTTCCAACAGTGAGGTAAAAATATTTATATTTATATGTAAAGAATGTTATTGAAAAATTTTGAAATAATGATCAGATAATTAGAAAGACTATTATTTTTATATTGTAGGAAAGCATTGTGTGATCCATTACCAGAAGTTCGACAGGCAGCAGCAAAAACCTTTGACGGTTTGCATTCAACTGTAGGAGTTAGAGCATTAGATGATATATTACCAGCAATGTTAACGCAATTAAATTCACCGGATCCAGCAGAAGCAGAGAATACCTTAGATGGTTTACGCCAAGTAATGGCAATCAAATCTCGTGTTGTTTTACCATATTTAGTACCTCAATTGACAACTCCCCCTGTCAATACAAAAGCGTTATCAATCTTGGCTAGCGTAGCAGGCGAAGCATTAACAAGGTTTCTTCACAAAATTCTACCAGCGCTATTAACTGCTCTCTCTAGTGCTCAGGGCACACCGAATGAAGTTCAAGAATTAGAATATTGCCAAGCAGTGATCCTATCTGTTACCGATGAAGTTGGTATTAGAACAGTCATGGATCAGCTCATGGAAGCTACAAGAGCGGATGATCCATCTAGACGACGAAGCGCTGCAACCTTGTTATGTGCCTTTTGTCGTGATACACGTGCAGATTATAGTCAATATGTTCCACAATTATTACGAGGTCTCATTCACTTATTTACAGACAGTGATAAGGATGTACTACAGATGAGTTGGGAAGCTCTTACAGCAGTTACTAAGGTAAGGCTACGTTATGGTAATAAAATTTTTTATTTAAATATAATTTTCAATTAATGTTATTGAAATTAATATATTAAATTCTATTTTTAGACTTTGGCATCTGATCAACAAATTGCTCATGTGCAAGATATTAGACAAGCTGTTCGGTTTGCAGTGTCTGATTTAAAGGGACAAGAATTATTGCCAGGATTTTGTTTGCCGAAAGGAATTACTCCCATTCTTCCGATATTCAGAGAAGCTATATTAAATGGTTTACCAGAAGCAAAAGAACAAGCAGCTCAAGGACTTGGAGAAGTTATAAAATTAACTAGCGCCTCAGCGTTACAACCAAGTGTTGTACATATTACAGGGCCATTAATTCGTATTCTCGGCGATCGCTTTAATTGGAGTGTTAAAGCAGCAGTTTTAGAAACACTTGCAATCTTGCTCGGCAAGGTAGGGTAATCTAATAATAGCTATAATGTATGAGCAATATTAAGATAAAGATATACTATAAAGATATAATAAGATAACGCAAAAGTAAATAATACCTAAAATGCTTTGATTAGGTTGGAGTAATGTTAAAGCAATTTTTACCACAATTACAAACCACTTTCTTGAGAGCATTGAATGACAGTAATAGACAAGTGAGATTAAAAGCTGCTTATGCTTTAAGTAATCTCATTGTAATTCATACTCGTGTTGACCCATTGTTCACAGAACTTCATACTGGCATTAAAACTGGAGATGATCCAGCTATTAGGTAAACTAAAGGATTGAATATATTTCATAAATTATTTATATATTTGCATCATTGAGGTTTACCAATACATATTCATTATATTTAGAGAAACAATGTTACAAGCTTTAAGAGGTGTGCTTACGCCTGCTGGTGACAAAATGACAGAACCAATGAAGAAACAAGTGTTTGTTACTTTAAGTAGTATGCTTGGACATCCAGAAGATGTTACAAGGAACGCCGTAGCCGGTTGTTTTGGGGCGTTGATACGATGGCTTAGTCTAGACCAACTCAATATTGCTCTTAACGAAGATCTGTTATGTAAGTTTATTTTATATTTGGAATTATGATGGAATTTCTAGAATATTTAATTACAATTGAAAATAAATATTTTAAATGTGAAATATCCTTTTGTTCAAGACGATAGAAAATTACATACAATATTATACATAATTAGCGTTAATTACAGTTAGAAGTATGCGGGAATACGAAAATTTTTCTCGGGATCTCGGGTCAGGTTCTAAACCAGTTTTATCAAACTCTTCCTGAAACGTCGTTTGTCTTGTCGAAATTCTCGGGGATTCCAACATTCTCGAGTTCCGAGATGTTTTCGGAACCTGACTCGGCTCGAACCGAACATCTGGTTGTCGCACACTTCAAGTTGTAGTTTATCATTTCATAGATTTTTTTTATAAAATACATATAATATTTGAGTTATTCAATTAATTTTAGGTAGTGATACCAGTGTCGATTGGATGCTTAGACACGGACGTTCTGCAGCATTATTTGTTGCATTAAAGGAATCTCCAACAACTATCTACAACAGTAAAGAGAAAGATCGTGTTTGTGCAGTAATACTTTCGTATTTAAGTGCAGATCGAGTTCAAATAGTCATGAACGGTGTACGAGCTTGTGGTTATCTGTTTCAATATCTTATGAACGAACGACAACCTATACCTCAACAAATTTTATCTCCTTTCGTGCGAGTAAGAATATTTCAACAAATTATATGTAAATTTATGTTTGTAATTTTATATATAAATAATTTATTGTGTAATTTATCTTTTAGTCAATGAATAACAATAGTAACGACGTAAAACAATTATTAGCTAAGGTATGCATTCATTTGGCTCGTAACATACCACCTGAGAAGATGTCACCAGAATTACTTAAATCGCTTTTACCTATGTTGGTAAATGGAACAAAAGAGAAAAATGGTTACGTGAAAGCCAACAGTGAACTTGCTCTTATAGCAGTACTTAGATTGAGGCAAGGGGAAGAAGAACATCAGGTATATTTCTATCAACTTTATAGTATAAAGTTATGAAGTGAAAATCTCGGGTATTTATATATTACTTATAATTTTGTAAATTGATTTTTTCAGCGTTGCATGGCCTTTTTGGATGCCGGTGCAAGGGAATCATTGTCAGATGTAGTCAGCAAAGTGTTGCGCAAAGTTTTATCGCAGCCTGAAGGCAAAATAGAAGAATTGGACGATACATTACTCACGTGAGAGATATTGTATGTTCCGGGGCTCATTGCGCTCTACATCCATTTTTATAGTCGTATTATTAATAATTACTCCAATGATTTTTATAAAATGATTTACTGTTCGTGTACTAGTTACATTATAAAGACGTTAGTTCGTTCCATATTGTATCTCGATAATCAATTAAACAAAGTAAAACGTAACAGTCACTCGATGGTATTCAAGTTACTTAAATTAAGGTGTCCTGTTTACCGAGCGATTCGCATACATGTTGTAGATATTTCTACGAAAAATGTTTTCTACTGTCAATTTATTAATCCGTTTCTTTATATTTTAATTATTAGTGAATCGTATTTGTCTCCAGGATACATATTTGTAAATGAATCGATAGAAAGTGACATAAAATATATCGAATTTGAACAGGAGAATAGTGAAAATGATTTAAAATACGAATTATATATTGATCGCGTTGTAGATTCACGCTTTACCTTCTTAATTTATGTTATGTTGTACACTTTGTTATGTTCTGTTAATGTTATAACTAAAAGTAGATTATTTTACTTGTGCGAGAAGCTAAAAAATTGTTTTTAAACGGAAGTGCATGGCTATTTCATTCTTTTTCCACGAATTTTTCCATTTTATATTTCCACGAATATATATAATATTTGAATGTCGGTAAACCGAGTAAAATGTTTACTTGCTATCGAGGATTTGAACAGTGTCCCGCTTTTATTGTCATAGAAGCGTGTTTTGCTGTCCTGTATTGTAGTTATATAAATCGGCATATAGTCTATATTTTAGAATTACTTATAGAAATTGTTGAGCCGGCTTAAGCCGTACCGTAACACGACACGATACTTGTAAATCTATCAGTAGAAAGTCTTCGTCTTCTAATGTATTCTATTTTCGACAATTTTCGATTTGTCTATGATTACATTAATTACATTACCCACAATTCGGGAACATACATATTCTGTATATACGTCCTATGATACGTTACAATATGGCGAACAAATGTGGGACTTCGTATAACATTTATTTTTATAATATCAAATCAAACGTTCATCCTTCGTTCATCTACAATTTGTGCGTGTTAGAATATTTTACTTTGGTAGAAAATGAAATAAAATTCCTCCGTTAAATTGCTTACGTGTAGTTTTAGACGGTATTTTTGTAGCACGGATTTTAATAAATATCCGAAAGAATCAAATTTTACATGTTAATGAAATTTTAATATATATTAGATATCTTATTAGAGTAAATATCACGGAAGACGAAGATAAGAAAATATGATAATGATAACGTAATGGATCAAAAGTAACGCGTATACATTGCATTTTAGACGGAAACATTAGTGTAAGTCAGCGACTTGATCGCACACTGTCGTTTCTCTAACTTCCTGAGCCCTGGGACTTTTATGAAAGCATATTTGGATTATATATACATGTATAGAAGGAAGAAAATCGATTGAGTTCCATCACATTATTATACGACAATGCGTAATAACGGATTCGCTTGTTCCGATAACACCGACAATTTCGTTATTGCTCGCTCAAGACTGAATCGTTCCATCCGTGGCTTCAAGAAAAGCCAACTGCTCTTCTGTTCTTTTCAATCCTATAATGTTTCATGAATCACAATCTTTTATCTGTACCTGTTTCAAAGATGAACGTATTCGCGTGTTTCATACTTGCGCGTTTAATTATTTTCATGATTGGACGAATCGAATGCCATTCATTTCATTATTTTTTATTACTTAAGTTTGTTTTGTTCTATTTCAGACATCCAATGCATCTACGCATATACTGTGTTTCCTAATATCTAGAACCCTCGTTCGTTCGATTGATTTTATTTATTTCTTTTAACATTCGAATATTTTGTTTGCAGTATTTCATTGAGATACTATGCTGCAAAAGATTGTATGCTTTTTTACATTAACAAAATGACCTTATATGGAAAAAATTTATTTATCGTGCTCAATTAATGATTTTACAATTGTTAATTATGTATGCACAGATGTACGTGATACAAATAGAACGATACGTTCAAAAAGCAATATTTCTTCATTTATGCTGTCATTAAAAACTGGAAGAACATTGGCTATAATAGATCGTTCTTATTAATATCATGTCTAAATTATTATATTAATCGATTTTGATATCTAAAGTATTATGCTGATATGTTTTTCTATACTTTGCCTTCTTGTTATCTAAAAATGTACCGACGTGCCAATGAAATTCTAGTTTAATAATCGATATAATATTCTATTATTTCTTAAAACCTAATTTTTAATTGTAATTTTCCATGCTATGAGTATGTTCCTAAAACTAAGTAAGATACAGTAGAAACTGTTCAATCTTATTTAACATAATATTGACGATTTTGAACGATCAATGTGAAACAAATGAGAAATAGGATAAGATTTGCACGCGACAGAAGTGAAATTAGATTTTTGTACTATTATTTTATCGAATTATATTAGGGTTCTTTCTTTGTTCTTGAAATCTTGATCGGAGACAGTTCGCTAATTCTAGAACCGTCTCTTTTTAGTAAATTATTGGCTTTTAACGATAGGGTTTCCTCCTCGATGTTCTTTGTATGCAACATTCTCAGAGTCTTCTTTCTTAAAGAAAGTAACTCCTTTGCTGCCTCTAGTATTATTTCATAAAATTCGAGAAATGTCAGCTGTAACATTAAATTTCTATACTGTAAATTATGCCATAAAAAAAAATACCGTATACGATGTGTCTGTAAAATATATTATGCATTTAAGCGAGAGATAATTAAGTTAGGGAAGATGCAATTTTTGTAATATCTGTAAATAACCATTGATTAAAATATTAGTCACATGTTAAATTAAATTAAATATGATATTCAATATTGCTTTATGATATTCATATATATTGATGTAATAAACGCATTTCAATCTATGCTACTTATAATGTTTTATGCTTTTTATATATATAATCGATGATAATTCTATAATTATATACTTGATACTTAAATAATCGATGAAACCCAGTCTGACATAATTTGCATTTTATATTACTGTTCATATTGTTTGTTAATTTACCTACTTTCAATTTCAGTTTTATAATCTTTTTAATACGTATCACGTAGTACGAATAAAATAAAAATTGCATAATAATAATAGTGATAACAATCATAACCATTAATAAAGTTATCTATGTCGAGCGATATTAGTAGTTATCGACATTATGCAATTTTACGTGCGAGCAACATACAAGACTAATCGCAAGTAATTATGTATAGAGACGACCTGACTGCTGCCATATCTTTCATTTGTTTCATATAACGCGTTTCACTAAGAATTTGTGTTTATATATGTAAACCGGTGCGTCAAAATCTGATAATAGTAATATAATAGCATAGCAACGTCGTTTAAATATTATGATGTTAAAAATGGAAGAGACACCGAAGCAAATCAAGTATAATCAAATAACAACCAGATCGTTCTATCAACAGATTATCTTTAAAAAGGTTTATTGAATTTCATTTGTATCAAATATATCAAAATTTGAATTACGATAATATACCTTATAATCCATGTTTATAATTACACCACTACTTGCATCTTTTATTCCAGGACATATTAGCATCATAATTTCTATCATTTTTCTAGTCCCTATTTGTGTAAAGACCAACAATCCGTTAGCTGTAATACGAATAACGTTCTTAACGCAAACGAAGCATGTACGATAATTTTTATAAAATGTGCTATACCCACTGCTACATAAATTATTTGCATTTCTTCTTGATATATTAATCGTACGATCGGGTGACGAAAAGATTTCGTCAAGTTTCAGTAAGTAGCTGACTTTTTCGCCTATCGTCACAGAATTAATTCCATCCGGAAAATTTTCCACAGCTTCGGCAGTAGTCGAAGAAAGCATTGGATCTGCCCTGTCTGCATCATTAAAATATTCATACGCTTCAATGTAAAGATACCATTGCTCTAGGAACTGTACGCGCAATGTGAAATATACCAACATAGATGTTTACTATTAATAAAGTACTGTAACGTTGTATGTTTTGTTCCAATTGCTCTCTTTTTCTTTCTTTTTTTCATATACCGAAAAAAATATATATATATATTGTTGCTATATAGCAACAGTGTTTCTTAAATAAAAATAAATTTAATTTGTAAAACGTCAATACGTTTTTGCAAGCGTTACAAAAATTTGCACAATGTTCAAAGTTGCAAACGTTCAAAAGTTATTACATTATTTAATGTTTATTTACTTTCTATTAAAAGTTGACAAAAATTTCGGAAGTTAATAATTGAAAAATTTAAATAACAAATAATAACAGACAGTTAGCTTACGTTTTAAAACGCACGTAGCACGAAGGAGATCTTTTGCAGAAACTGGATAGCCAATCTGTTGGTACAATTCAAAGACGCAATATATAGGTAGCAAATCTTGATTTTCACGGCACAGACTACCTGGAAAGTTGTATTTTATTTAGAAAATTTCAGTTTAAAATTGAAAAAGTTGTATTTGTTGTGCAAATGATTAACAACACAAAAGATTTTCTAGCTGTTTCATAGAGTCATAAACATTTGTTTCATTTAGTTTAATGAAAATTCCCAAAAACTTACATAGACGCAAATTATATTCCTTATGACATAAATTGTCTTCATAACAATACCACCTTTTCTTTTCAAAAGCCACTTTTTACATTTATATTATATTATTTATGATAATGTTACCGTATTAGGTATGTACTTACGTACCAACATGATTTCCAGCATGAGGATATATATAGTTTTTTAAAAATTTGTGCAAACCACCAGCGATTTTTCCGTTCATTTCCTCGACTTCATCGTCGTTGTGTTTAGTATATAAGTGCCAGGAAACTTCTAACAAGGCGTGTAAAAATTGCCAGATTTCAATCTTTTCGAACGGATGAAGAGGATCTTTCACCATCGTGGTTTCATTTTTCGCTAATATTTTAACGATTCACATTAATAATAGAAACTTTATAGCGAGACGTGTTTGCGATAGCGGATATTATTCCAAACTACTGTTTTGTTGCATTAAAAACTAATTTACTCATATACATATACAATATGTACTGGTACACAGTACTGTGCAAAATCTTAGGCTACCTACCAAATGAATATAAAGATACTTGATATTATCTTAGGTTTATCGTTATTACTTAAGAAAGTCAAACACCACAAATACGTATTCCCTAAAAGTATTAATACCATCATTGTGAGATTACTACTCTGTAGTGATCACTACTGACGGTCCAAGAAAAGGACTTTTGTACAGTACTGTGACATAATATACAACGATGTTTACAGTAGTTATCAATTAACGTTCACCAATGTAACTATCGATTTCAGTGAGGCTAAGTCCTTTCTTATGAATACCACAATCTCTCCATAATTGCCATAAACATAATCTACTCATCGCCAGATTGCATTTTGGCGCCGACTTGGCAAATAACGTAGCATAATCGTTGTAAATTTCACGTAAACGATGCATGTGAAACGTCAAACAATTATATGTCCAGCATTCTTCATATTTCCAGACAGATTCTATCATATTCTCGGTGTAGGATTCGGGCGCATGTGTCTGCGTGATGTCGTTTCGTTCACTTGTAATCGTATCTGCATGAAAGTTTTTCATGTAAGTCGCCACTCACTCCTTGAACATCTTTCGTTCAAACGTTTAGTGCAAAAGTTTAGTATACACGAGTGGAAATATTTTTATTTTATTAACAAGAATTTAAAAATGTCGCCGTTATTCTCGTGTAACGAAATAATGGTGTCACTTTATCCGATTAAAATACGAAGAAGGAATGCAATCGTATTTTCGAATTATTTTCATTTACACTTGCAATTTGCGTAATTTGCGTGTAGTATATGTTAAATAATAATTAGAAATATTGACCTATGGAAAGTGGATGTGGCAAACAAGAACAAGATTCTCTTTCACAACTGTAGCATTTTCCAGATGGAGGCGAAAATACGACAGATGGCTCCATATTTTTTGGATCCAATAGACGAGTTATATAGTAAGATAAACATAGAAACTGTTCTGGCTTCAGAATAGGTGTTGGCCAAGTTTCTACCAATTGACCAGGTTTCTCGGCAAATCTATCAATGATTAAGTAGAAATTAATTATATTAATTTACATTGAAATATATTTCTTATATTTCGTTATTGTACATATGTGCGTAGATACATTTTACTACCGACTTTGTATAAACTGTTACATCAATTGTACTCATTTTGTACCTATGATCGTTATTGTACAGTGTACAATGTATATGCATATGGCATTCTTACGCTGTTTTTATTTCTTTAGCTGTTCGCATGCATTCTCCTTCATCCTTCGTTTTCGTTTCAGTTTCTAAATTATCGGCTACAACGTTCGGCGCACACAAAATATCATTTAAAAATAATGGATTAGCCTCAAACTTGTGCCCGTTACTTCCTGCATAAAACACGAATATTTTTACTTTGACGCAATATTTGATCCATCAAAAAACGTCATATCAAATATAAGGGAATCATTTGTAATACAATCTCATGTTGATAATAAAGGATGAAAAATAACTAGCTTACGTTATTAGTCGAACCTCGATAACTCGCATAACAATTTTGCTCGTTACCTTCCGCTTCTTTCTCAATGCGAGAATTGATTGTTAATATCAATAAATAAATAAAAAAAACCTTCCGCTTCTTTGTGAAAACCGTATATAAATATCGTATACGTGTCCTATAATATACGTAGCTACGATATACGAATCTACGCTTTACAATGAAAAAACCACGATTCAACTTGTCGCTTATTTTTCAAATAAATAATTGACCTCTAGAACTTGAGTCTCTACATCCTCTGCAATTCGAAGAATATCGACTTTCGCGCAAAACTTGTTCCACTCGTTTCGAATATTAAACGTCTCTTATTCGTAGAAAAAGTAAAATCTCCACAGCTCGAAGGCTTTTTTAGTCGTTGCCTTGTGATTCGAGTTCTCGAGGTTGGCTGCGTCAACAATATGTATCTTTGCTACAAATATCTTAATTTTGTAAAACGTTCGCGTTACCAATTATGACTCCGTAACCATGCTTTTTATTATCCTTCCAATAACCAGAATACTTAGCTCCACCGACGGAATTCAGCTTTATCTCCCCTATTATAACGATCTTATTATTATCTTTATCGAACATTGTTTCAGAATAACAGTATAGATTCACCCTTGCCATGACGCATTCCGCGACGCCAGTAACCTACGTACGATGCTTCTTGCGGCCAAGCAAACGTTTTATTAAAAAATCCATTCCATACGTACTCTCCATAGCTGCAAACATTATATTATCTTGTAATATTAAATAAAACTAACATAAGTATTTTAACCACTCCTCCAATGTAACTATATTTCTTTCATTCATCGTTATAAAACCATAGGGACCAAAACAAACCCGTGCATTGCACCGCATTTCCATTCCCCACGATAGAGACTCCCATTGGACCAAACCATGGTTCCGATACCATCACGAACTCCGTTCTTCCATTGACCCACGTAACGGCCACCGCTTGGATAAATTCGTAATCCAATCCCGTTCATTTTGTTCATTACCCAATCACCGTCGTATGAACCATTGTCAGAGTAACGGGAATAACTTTTTTAACAAGTACATTTACAAAAAACTGATTATTTACAAAAAAACTTGTATCGCAGTGAATATGATAACGACACTTTTTGCCAATAATTATATTACCAGAGAATAAAATCGTCGTCAACAGATTGCGTACCGAATACGGTAACAAGTGGCGACAATTCCACGTGCACGTAGCTCAGTAAATCACGCGTTCAAAATGATACCGTCAAGAGGACGCGTCGAAATCGAATGTTTCTTGTCGAGAGGCTTTGGAGGACAAGGGACACGGCGATATGATAGAATGTCTCTAGCGCGAAATTCGATTGCTTGTAAGTTAAGTTGAAAAATAAGCTTCTATCGACACTTTTGCATATGAATTTTCACGTTTGTTTCGTGCAATTCTAACACTTTTATAACAACCTGAACATATATCTAATAATAATAGCCACACCGACAACTAACACATCCTAAGACATAAATCGAATTAATTGTTTTACTAGTAGATTTGTAAAGGACGTAAGTTTTACGCGTTAAAAAACGTTTCGTCGTATTACATAATTATGTCTGCGATATTTTAATAATCATCGATTTTACATCAGTGTAGAAACAGTCTTTCTCTGGCTTGTGAAAATATTTCACCTGTACTTTGTTACGTACTTACCCTTTCCCATGTCTTTGACCCATATGCCATTGACCGGTATACATGTAACGATTTTCTCCATCCACCATAATTCCTCTACCATGTCGGTAGCCGTTCGTAAAATCACCTTCGTACCAGCAAACATTGTTCCATTCTAATAGACCTTTGCCATGCATAACATTCTGTTCGAATTCTCCCTATGAAACCACACAACTTTCAATAATAACGAAAAGCGAGGGAAGTTATTTATTTTATCGTTTCTACTTATGTTGAGGCAAAATTAAAAAAAAATCATATATATATATATATATAAATTAATCGTATATTATGATTAATAACTAGAGTAATTGTTAACCAAGTGCAAGGTTTTTTTGTAAAATATATACAATCGCTTTTGCCATTGATATAATCTTTAATGCATAAAAAGCATATTGCCGGAAAGAATGATGACCGTATGTATTACATGTATGAATTCCATTAACGACTTGTATCGCTGAAATTTATATACTTGTATCGTAATAATAGGAAATTTGAAAATTCTTACTTTATACCGAGCACCGTTAGACCATTTGTATACGCCTTCACCCTCCATCATTTTTCTACTAATACGACCGCTGTACGTATTGTTACTAATAAATCTTATATTTGCAAATTCATCGGGCAGTGATAATTTCCAAGACGAAACGAAACTTGATTTATTTGTATCGTTATTAAATTCTTCGGAATTATTGTCGCTTTCTTTCGATTCATTTACATCTTCGTAATCTTGTCTTTCACCTATATCTTCGTCATCGTTGGACGAGTTTCTCGAATCATCGACCAATATCTTCGTAGGCTTTTTTCTTAAATACGTGCCATCCCACCTATATTAAACAATGAATGTTAAATAACAAACATCGAGTAATTGACATTTTTAACGCGTATTTTACTCGGCTGTTAAACGTAATAAACAGGGAAAATCGTACGTATATGGAACTTTGGATCGTAACAGTTCATAAAGGTATCAAAGAGAGTTGATAGAAATATCAAAATTTCAGTAAAAATTTAAACGAGAGCGAAAATGAAAACGATTACTCTTTCACAAAATACTGCAAAGTGTCATTATAAAGAAGAAAAATGAATTCTTCTTTAGCGCTATATTTACGACGTTTGTCAGCGAGAATATCTTCGAAAGGTAATTCCTCTACTATTTCGCTTTCTTTTTCTTCCATCTCTTCCACTTCTCCTTCGTTCTCGCTATACGATTCCAGAGAAATAACCTTCTTCCGACATTTCTCTGATATCACTTCTTTTAGCGTACTATTCATCTTTTTTATATGTTTCCAAGTAAACTCGCAAAACCTATACTTTCGCTAAAGTTATTTAAGAGTAACATTCAATTCTGCGATAGAATTTTAATAATTTACGTCCACGTATATCGTAAAATCTAAGAAACGTGAAGATATCAGAGATTCGACAGACGTTATTTTGCGCAACAAGACGATGTTTTACGCGATGTTCTTGAAATGTTTTTGAAATGTTTTTGAAAATAATTGACACTGGATTCCGATTAACTTTCGATTAATCACGTTATCCCGCAGGATAAAATATCAAGAAAAATAACAAATATTCAAGTTGCCTAACTGAAAAGAAGAATAAATGTTGACGAAAGGGAAACTGAACGTAAGATTATATTTGTATAAAAAGCGTTATCAAATTATTGACAATTATCAATTTTTTGATCGTGCTACGAAGTCTGTACTCGCACAAAACTTCATGTTTAATTTATTTATGTTTAATTTTATTCGACAAAAATAAATATTACCTCGGTTCATTTCTTTGCATTTCGTTACATTTATTTTCGCAAGTTCCTTCTATTACATGTATACGTATAATGGCCTGTTACAATGGCGTATAAATTAGAATCAATACTATTGTACGGATTTATTTTTGTATACAAAGTATTATAAATATAGAAAATATACTGGTTGAATCGTAGGTCGTCTTTCCAACCTGTGAAGATGAATTTAAAGATTTCGAACCGATTGTTTTTCATACTCCTGCTATTTACAACACCAAAGTAAAGGTTCATGATTGGTAAGCATATTTCATTATTTATTTATATAAATATGCACAGAAATAAAAATAATATTTTATTGTTATTCGATACACGTGTAATCGATATTTATACCAATGTGATAAATTTTGGGGAAATGTTTGTCGTTCGTTTAATTTTTAATCGACTCGAAGCTTCGCAATAATTTTTTGTCGATCCTTCCAATATAAATACTTCATCCATATATTATCTATATGTATTATTTATGCAAAAATGTTAAATTTTACTATTTTTATTATCTTTTATTATTTTATTAGTTTACATCTTCAGCCATGCATTCCTAACTCTTATCCAAGTATTATATTCTGGAATATTTTATGCACATTATTTTATATACTTCCAAAACTTTACCATGACATGTAACTTCTTGTATAAGATATACTTTTTAAATTGCGATATGATACAGAAGTTTGCATCGTATATACTTCTATGTTTCTTACTCCTTGTATTCGATAGTATTCCCTATGTTGTCAAGCTGTAACAAGGAAAACGAAGAAGGGTGAAACGTTCCCGCCTTCTATTGTGCGTAGCAACGCAGTTTTGTCACTATAGTCACTATAGTCAATATAGTCAATATAGATTGTCAGACCACTCAAACTGCAACAGCTTTCAACTGTGCGTGTAGTTTTTTTTCTACTTAGTACAAAATAAATAAAATCTCTAATATTACGATGCAAAGTGGTAAATGGGGAAAAGGACATACAAATTGATCATTAAACATACTAATTACTACTCATTTTTATCGTAGTAAATTATCAAGCTAAATATCATCTTCCGTGATGTAAGTATTACTCTTTCCGAAACTTTTAGTCAAGAAGACATAATTAATAATATTTACACGTATGGATACGTATATGTGTGTGTATATGTATATGAATACGCAATGCGAAATATGAATATGCAATGCTGTTATATAACGTGTTAGGTGTATTTTTTAAATATTCTTTTACGCTTTAGGAAGATGAAATTCTCAGAAACATTTATTTAATAGTTTGTCGTGTTTAATAGTATAATTATTCAGTCCACCTATATTTATTTGTTATTTATTATGACCTGGTCGTTGATTCTCGGGCTTATCCGGTTCCTTTGCCCCGCCTTATTTTCCCGTTTTGCTCAAACCTTCGATCTTACACATACATAGTTGACTCGTGAATATACATATGAGAAGTCGATACGTCGTTATTTGTAGACTTTGACAAAACTTAAAATTTGCTATTTACAGGCAAATGCATACGTTGGCTGAACCCAGAGACAACAAAGACATATTTCCACCGAAAGGGAATCTTCATAAATCATCGTATGAAAGACTAGGACCAGAACCTGCTTGTACAGGAATTACGGAAACACACGCGATGTTGTCTCAAATAGAATTAAAAGACTCGTATAAACCAATTTATCCGCAACGTACTCTACTTCATATCAAGTCACTTGCAACGTTAGAGTATGTATTCGTGAAATAATTTTTTATTCGATATTAAAGAATAGTCAAAATAGATGATTCCATTCAATGTGAGACGATAATTATTATTATGGCAACTGTTTGAAAACTATAATCACAGTTACCTTTTATAGCGAGTGGAGCATTATGAAAAATATGACGCGTATTGTGTATAGGTTTGTCGTTAGTAGCAGCAAAATATGAATAGAATAATCTCTCGCGAGAAGGTTTTAAATATATAGTAAAATGTTTACGAAGGAAATTGAAAAGAATGGAACAAATACTGTAGCTATTTTGTATCGTAGATTAAGAAACTAGATTTTAGTATAAAATTAAAGCGTTTAGTTTTCATGTACATTTATATAAGAACGCAATACACGTTGCAAATGCTATTCATATCGTAAATAAGGAACTTTTTTATAGAAATAAAATTACCACCCTTGACGAATTTAGTGTAATTTTCATCTTTCGAATGACGACAGGAATCTCCTTCGAGGAAAATTCAATCGTAATGATATTTGTTCACGCAGTGTTGGATGGATAAGCAGAATTTCATTTTAGCTAGATGCACGGTCATTCGTCGAATTTACAAAGACATTTTTCTTCAAAACAAAGTATCCGACTTTTTCTTCGACAATTACATTTTATTAAATATCTACTACTGGAAAGAGAATACTATAGAAGAAATCACTTTATATACTTATGATACGATGAATCAGCACATATTGATAGTTTAGAAAAATAATATCGCGTAATATCACAAAATAATACCAGTAATATCATACAATCACAATAATATATCAATTATATCATACAAGTATAATGTTACACGTTTGTAAGAAATAAATGTATGATATTTCTTATGACATGTGAAAAATATATCGCAGGCCCGAAGAAAAACAAGAGACATTGACGGATATCGTGTACGATGCCGATGAAGCCCGTAACATGGATTATCGAACAACAACGGAAATTCATTACAGATCACCTCATCCCATGAAACGAAGAACGTTACCACCGCCACCGCCACCACCACCGGAACCATGGCTCTTAAATCGACGGACTATCGGATATAGTCTGGAAGAATTGGAAAAGCGAGACGGGACGTACACGTTTTTAGATGACAATATGGAACTTCATAAACAAATAGCTGATTTAAAATCAAGAAGATACAAACTGCGTACGTTTCAAGACAGTCAGCCTTCCGAACACATCAATGCGTCTAATATAAAAGACTGTAAGGATTGAAAATTGAAATGTACAAAAATAACCGAGAATATATTTTATCGAATTCGTCGAAAGAAATGAATTATTATTGTCGTTAGAGAATATGCTGATAAAGTAATGTCTCTGTTTTGTGACTTGCTTGTTAAAGAGTTTTCTACGTAGTATAAAACATGAACATCCACGCGTATTAAGATGAAGAGAATAGAAAGGATACAATATGGAAATCTACTCGTAATATGATGATAATAATAATAATAATAGTAATAATAATAATAGTAATAATAATAATAACAACAACAACAAAGGATTATCCAAGTAAACGAAGGAATTTGTGTTCCATTCCTGTTGGATCCGTGTTACATTAGCGATAAAAGCATATAGTCAGTCTGCAGGTTCCGGCGCATATTTGCAAACATGAAATTAAAAACTACAAATTAAGAGGGCCAGGAAGTGTATAGAGAAATTGCAGAGTGGCAAATACAGTATAGATGGAAAAGTAACGTTAGTTTCGTTTTATTTTGATTCAATTACAAATGCGTACGGACCTATGATCTCAACCGATATTACCGATAAAACAAAAGCTGGTGGTTACATTATACGAAACAACTATGATAAATCGGATAATTACAAATAATGCAACTATTATAATTATATTGTACTATCGTATTAAAAACAAATTACAGCTTGATAGGAACTTGTTTTCTATAATACTGTAGTGGTTACAGGGCTCATTCTGCAATTGTGATTTTAATCGCAACTACCACGATAAAAGCATCGTTTTGTAATATACGATTAAAACAGTGTCCATATTCTTTTACTCGCATTTATTCCGCATTATCTTCGATCACCACACGCAAAGCAGTGAAGATGGAGAAAGTATTGGACAGATACTGAAATATTTTCAGCTTGTTAATTATATGTCATCTTTGATTAGTTCGTTGATTACAATTAAAGAGATTGCAGTTATATGCCAGTTTTATGGCAATTTGAATAAAAGAAGAATATGTAATATGGATCTATATGGACACTATATTCATAGTTAAGTGATATTGATAATAGAAATCTTGCAAACAGAACATTAGACAGAATATCATTTACACTCTGGCAATGAGGCTGCATCGCGATCAACTGAAAATGCGAACAGTGTCTTAAAAGTAAAATTAACAATTTGAAAAATTGCAATTACGTTTACCGTTGCATGTAACCGAACAACGTCAAATATGGCATTTGATTTATTTGAAAATTTTTTGCCAAATTTAGCTGTAGAATTTTATTTGTTCTATTGCAGCAAGTATTAATCGATATGTGGTCCTTACCGAACAATAATAACGCAAAGAAAGCTCTGGTATTATACAACTGACAGAGAGAGTTACTGGCTCTTGATATACCAGCACGATCGACAAATTTTTTTGCACTTCCAACGTTTGTTTATACCATATCGTGTCGTATGCGCTTCGTGAGACATTTATGCTCTATGACATACGAGGAATTAGTTGTATCTAAGGGAACATAATTCACAGATTGCGCGAAAAAAGAGGTGGTAATATGAACGTACTATTACCCACCTATTACCACAGGTTGAACGTGGTAGTATTAAACGAAACAGACTATTATTTATGAAATTACGTCCGGTGCAACGACAACAAGCAGTTATAATTTACAACACGTCGTTGTTCATTTACCTTTTTAACGTCAGCATCGTCAATCGCTAGCAATTATGAAAGCAATTTTCGGCTGTTAAATATCTTTTTGTATATCGAAGCGTTTCATAAATATAATCAGAGTTTCATCAATAAAAGTGGTCATATTACTACCTCTTTCCTTACACCTAAACCATAGAACCTGATTTACCATATCTTTCATGTAATCGGCTGACCACGCGTATACATAAATCTCCGTAAGTAAAGTGAGGCATAGAGTTACGAACTGTATTTTCACCATTGGCGGTACATCCTAGATGTAAGCTATTTAGTTAATTCGTTGTACAAAATATTACAAGATTCACTTACCACGAGCAATATAATACCACATAAAGTTAGAGCAGACGTGCTTACTCCTATAGCGTAAAGCACTATGTAACGAAGATTATCCACCACTTCTTTTGCGTATCTAGAAAAAAAGAACTCGCGATAAACATGAACGCTCCGTTTCGTCCACGCGTTGTAAAATCTCACTCTTACCTTCTCAAATATAATTGTTTCTCAACGCAAACGATCAGGGTACTAACGTCTGACGTCTTTTTTAATTCCATGGCCAAACACTGGAATCTCGCGGCGGTAAACCAAAGCAGAAGCGATCCAAACATGCTTAAGCATACATGTGCTGCGCATTGATAGCTGAGGATAGACTGTTGCGTGTAGATGATAAGGTATACTGGCGTATAATTAACGCGAAATGGATATTCCGCTTCGCTTGGGAAGGATAGCGGCAAGGCTGCAGGTCCTATCGAAAAGGCAGTCGCGGTCAAGTAAATACATACCATAGAACTTGCATAAAAGACGCTGCATCGCGCGATATGCTTGGAAAAAATTTCCATTTCGTATTCTCGCGCTTGTTTAACGCAGACTGTCATTTCCTCGACTACGTGCTGTAACCCGTTGTTAAAGCGCGTATCTTTTTCAATCAAACGTAAGGTGGAAGTGAATAAAAACTTACTTGCAGGGAATCGTGATTGATGAAACATATAACAGTCTGAACCACAATTTGACTTACAACCATAAACAGACAGATACATTCAGAAACAATGATTATATCGTCTAGATGCAGATAAATCGAATATAACAGCGGCGGGAGCAGCATGCAAGCGTTAATAACGCCACTCATCTGCAAAATTTTGTGAACCAGAGTTCGCGTTCCGCTGCTATTGATAGGAGGCGGCCAACAGAAAGTCAAAGCTACGCTAAACCAAACGATGTCGATCACTTTCTCCGGCGTTATTCTTTTCGGCATAATTTCAAGGGACTGTGTACTTTGTACGAACGAAATAGAGTTTAATAAAATTTAACAGAAGGATATTCGTTCAGTACAAAACATTGCTATATCGCGTCGAACACAACTGGCCGTTTGCGGACGTTTGAATCCGTATGAAATTATCTTGTACACACGAACAATTTAATAAATCATATTCGGCGTTACACTCGCGGACAAGGTTGTTGATTTCGCTGCTGGTTTCTTGCATTGCTGGTTGATTCAACGATGACAATTATTGTTTGCATTATACATGGAGGCCGGTTGCGGTAAGGAGCAAACAGGTGCAGTGGGAGGCGATCTCACGCAACAGAGTTAGCGTTCGTGGATATGACGTGTAATAAAACGGTCTGGAACAGGTAGGAAATCACATACTTCTGGATGCGATAAGTTAGATATTCAGTTAGTTATAGGAGAGCTTACTCGCGCCACTTATAGAAGGCGATACTTCTGAAGTAACTGGAGAGGTATAGAACGTGATAATTTATAGGATCTTTAGCGATACGCGTTTCTTCCAAGACTGACAGACTCTCTTACGCCGTTATTTATGTATCAGGCACACGGATATTTCGAGTTTAGCCAGACGTTTAGTCTTATGTTTGAACTTGAAAGGACTATTGTGAGCAGAGATTTATGAAAAGATGAGAACAGCGATGTACATACGTATATGTGAAAGACAAGATATGTAAATGATTTTTACGTCGAAATTCAAGGGGAAAGATTGGATCTAACAGTGAAAAACTTATTATTCATTAACATTTGACAAGAAGATCCATCGCTGTGATTGCGTAGCGCAAAGTTAAAATTTTTTTGTCTCAAGGCGATATAGTGATATATCGGAGAATCGTCCGGCAAGGACTTGGATTTTTGATAGGAAATAGCAGGGGCGGTGCACTGTTGGACCAAATTGTTCAAATGCTCATACAATTGCAAATGGCTGAGGTGTGTGCCGCGTCATTCGTTCCTCACAGTCCTCTTACCAGTCCTCGACAAATTGTTTGGAAATTGAACGGCGCTAAGGTAACCGGTCCTACGTTAAAAATGGATCGTCGCTAGCTAACATGCAAAAGTGATTTGAGGGACAAATTATGATCTGGTGAACATTTCTCGCAATAAATTTCTCCCTGACGATAAGACATCTCCACACTAAAGCGAAATGATTCGTGAAATAATGAAACGATCTTTATACCGTATTTAGTGTAAGAGCAGTTAAGGTACGTTATACTTTCAGAATAATAACGATATATTATCCACAATTAAAATGTGTATCGAATCATTTTGAAGGATAAAAGTAGATAGATGTTACGGAGACTTTCATCGACGATGACGGTATTAAATTATTTTTTTAATTAAAATCATTGTCATCATCTCATCATTGTCTCATGATAAATAATTAACACACGAGAAGAGGAACGTAATTATTAGAACATTAAAACGTAATTATGCTTGTTATTATAATATTATATGTTAACTCATTGTGTCCTTTTTCCCCCAATTAATTCAATGAGAAAAAGAAAGGAGGAGAAAGGGCAGAATAACAGAATGCGTATTTGTAATGTAAAATATATTTCATCTAGTATCGCGACGATGATAGTGGAACGACGCCACACGATTGGAATTATCATCTCAAAAGTATTAGTATCATCGGTAGTTAATCGTGCGTCTTGCCAAGTCGCATATAACCATAATCTCCGAAATGTTCCCTTTTCCCGAATTTCATATGACCATAATCGTCAAACTATTGTCGTTTACTTACGAAATCTACGAAATTATCATGGTCAACAAGCAGATTTTCTATATTATACATGAGCAAAAAAGTGATTTTGATACATGAGCAAAGTAATTCTATAGCTCTGCTTAAAAGAAATATTTGTGGCGGCACGCGACAGTAAACATTCCAACGGTTTCTGTCCCGTGGCGCGCCACACGCAGACCCTATTCTTTGAGTAAGATGATTGCCAGACGTCGATGCGTCTCCGCAGTACATGTTCAGCTAGCCCGAGGGCCCGTTCTATAGCTCTCCTTAAAAGAAATATTCGTGGCGACACGCAACAGTAAACATTCCAACGGTTTCTGTCCCGTGGCGCGCCACACGCAGACCCTATTCTTTGAGTAAGATGATTGCCAGACGTCGATGCGTCTCCGCAGTACATGTTCAGCTAGCCCGAGGGCCCGTTATAAATCTTAAGATTTAGTTAACTAAAGTCCTTCAAACAGACAAACAGTCTGTATCCCAACTACGGGAACATAGGGGAGACCTATTTTTCAACGAACGACGTCTCCCACTAGCAACTTTCCCTCGAGGGCGGCTAGCATCTTTTTCTAACCACCGATAGTGCTGTGCTAATCACCACTGTGGGATCCGCGGGCATAAAGCGACGGAGTGCCGCAAAAGGATGCGGAGCGAAAAGCAGAGGAATGCACGACGCCGGGAAGGAAGCCGGTCGGCTACACCGTCCCAGGTGATTTGCTTCAAGTGCCGTGCGGAGGGCGATATTGCACTTGATTGTCCGCTACTGCAGGGCAGAAAACCCGTCTCCAAGAACGAACTCCTGCGTGGTGGAGTCTCCAACGGGTAGTCTAAGTCATCTGGGTGAGTCGTTCCCATTTTACTTCGATTCTGGAGTCGAATGCTCATTAATTAAAGAATCCGTAGTCGATATAGTAGTAATGCGAGGAATCGGGAATACTTGAGTTAAAAGTACGTCTCAGATTTTGTCCGTTGTACGTATTAACGGTTTTACATTGGAGACAACTTTTCACGTCCTTGTCGATAGTTATTTAAAATATGATATTATGATTGATCGCGAAATTTTAAGCCAAGGATTCGATGTAAATATTACGCACAAATTATTGGGCGCAAGCACACAGGATTAACGATTCACGTTACCGCAAGAAAAGATGGGCCGAGGTTAGCTGCTGTTCACCTGTACGATATAGGGGTCCGAAAATCGGCAGAAGAGTTTGCACGTGGTTTTTTATACAACAACCGCTCCATCATTCCCGGTATCCCGGGGCAACATTGAGGGGCTATTTGAATTTTAATTCACGTAACTTTGGTTTGATAAAGAATTTTCTTGGCCGCGTAGAACTGCCACATCTCCTGTGTCGAACGTTTAATATTCCACGACAGTATCCGAAGATTGGCAGTTGGAATAACCGTATTACCGTTTTACCATCTTGACTTTTCTCTCTGTTGAACAGTGTAGGTCGTTTCATCTAGCCCCTTAACTGGAACTTAGTAACTAAATGAAATTGTGAATAACGCTGTATGTTACGTTTGCCGCTTTCAACGAGTTTCCGCATAACGTACAACAATTTTCGTTTTATTGAATTTTCAATCATTCAAATTAATCCACGGTAAAGCGAAGGTATACAAGAATATAGTATAGGAATGCGGAGATACGAAACACGATTGCGTGCAAATAAAACGATATATGCGTGTGCTTTTGAGTGTAGCTGACCAATTCATAAGAAGATCCGTTTCCCTTGATAATTGAGTCGATGAATTGCGAGTCGATGATTCAACTTGCTTTACGGTATTGTTAATTGCGTACCTCCGGTAAATATTTATAGACTCGTAAGAGTTTTCAATTTTCCATTTTTTCATTTTTCCATTCTGTCCTATTGGATTATCGTAATTAAATAAATGTTAACGATATCAAGATTCACGAGGACTTGAACCAAGCGACGTATGTCTTTACACGTATATGGACGACACCTTTTCGTGAAATATTGTCACTGCAGATATTACATGCAAAGTGATATTAAACGCACTTACCTTGTGAAATCGTTTACATACGCGACCGTTTCTCATGTTAAAATATGCGTGTAAGAAGGCACGAACACTGCTTTCGATAACGGTACCAAGTTTTACCTATTTACTATAATTATTTTATCGAATTTGAACAATGTATTCGAAAAACTATTTATTATTCACGATATTGACATGATTTAATTCACTTAATCAGATCAGATATACTACGCAACAACGCGACTAATCACCTACGTATAAGAGAAAATGTTTGTTTAACTTCTATTCACTTTTACATAGCGATACTTTTAAATTCGATGTAAAATGTTAGCAATAGCAGCTTTTAAATACTATTATAGGTATATCAAATTTTATTCACGCCTGAAATTCAGCGAATAGTCGTTTCATAAAAGTTATTATACGAATCACCTCCACGTTAATCCATCGATGCTTGTTATCTAAGACAGTTGGCGCGATTAACTTTACAGATACATACATCTTTTCGCTTACTACGGAGCTTGTGACCACAGTATGGGCGGAATTCGTATAAGCCACACAGGCAACGAAGCGAGAAACAAAATTTCACGTAACTTTGTACGAAGTCACGGTCATGGATTATGACAGCTCTTCGATGGCTTCGGTATTTCTAGTGCTTCGAAGGTACCCTATAAATCAAACCGTTGTCTCTTCAAAAATCCAATCGTTTCCTATCTTCTTACCTAAATTTATCGTTCGTTATCCATCGTTCGTCGTACGTCATTTGGTTGCCGCCTTTAATAAATACGTGCGATTACCATCGTTTCAAGTGCTCCGCAACAGTGATAATGTCCGAGGATGTTAGTGTAACGATTCAAAAGGGTTTGTCGGAATGGTGGAACGAAGAAACCGAGTATATTTTTCAACGAATCGAGCGATGGGCTGCGTACGCAAGAGGTTACAACCGGTTGAGATCACAAAGACTATCAAGAGGTCGCATGACTATGCAAGGAGGACAGGAACCACGCTGGAGTATTTCCTCCAATAAGCTGATCATCGACGATTGCTCCTGGAGTCCGCGTTTTCATAGCTTGAAAAAGTCACGACGAAAATCTCGACCGGAGGAAACCAAGATCGATTGCTGCGCAACTCTCAATTACCAATCAAACAGCAATTTGGACAGCTCTTGCCTGCAAACCTATAGATACGACCATAGTATTTACTTCAAGACAATTGGCGACATTAAAAATGACAAGAAACAGGTTAATGTTACCACGAACGGAGAAGAAGATGGGATTTCTGTTAGCAGCGAGGAGCTGGTCGAATGGCATGTTAATACAGTGTCAGGATTTATCGCCAGTCAGCTATTCGAAGATGCGTTCGTCAATCACGATAAAGAAAATGCCTTGGATTCTACAAGAAATTCTCATCAGGATGCCAACAGGCAACTTGACTCTGTCGCATGGTTCAACGTGGACTTGTCGAAGCTCGATTTAGACGAAGATGACATCACCGTGACAGTTACCAATCAGCTAAATAATGAAAACGGTTTGACAATTTTTCAGAACGAAGAGCAAACGAATAATAATTACATTCAGAACGAAGAAACTGTCGTGAAAACGAACTTGAACAATCGAACGCAATTAAGCTGCGTGGACCAAGATGAAAACAACGCGAAGGAAACGCAGCCCGAGGAAGGAACCAAGAAGTTTCTTGACGTTCGAAGAACGAGAAGATCATACAGAACGGTTAAACAACAACCAGTTGTAGGTGATAACGAAGTGGTTTGGCCTAGTGTATTATTAAATTACACTAAAAACATCAGCCCCTCCAATTCGCCGCATCATTACAATGAACCACGAAAATAAATTAGAAGACAAATTTTCACGACGCGATGGATTTGATTTTACAATTTTCAACAATAACGTTGACAAACGTTTCAACAATAAATGCACGTAAAATTATCTGTATAACATCGTTCCGCTCTATTAGAATACATCCTTTTTGTATCAAACTTTTCAAATCAAAATCATAATTTTATCAACTATATTCCTCGTAAATGTATAATGGAAAATAAATTACATTTGTCTCGTATACAAATCATTGTTACAATCCGTCGCTAATGCAGTTATCAAATCAGTTTGATATCTGCTTTGTGTTTTTTCTATCAATGAGTAGAGAGTTCTTAATGACGAAAAGATGGAAAATTTGATTCGACCAAGCACGTTACATACGACGATTCCGGTGTACCATTATTTCAGAGTTTAGTAGTTTTATTAATCCCGCCGATGCGTTTAGTTTTCATGCCTATTTATACATCAAAATACGATACGTATCGCAAATGCTATCCGCACCGGGTAAACATGCAACTTTTTTACAAAAATAAAGTTACCACATTCCATCCTCAGCGAATTCTTCATTGTTTTTCATCTTTCGACTGTCGGCAGAAACCTCTTTTAAGCAATATTCCTTCAATCTTGATGATACTTGTGCACACAACGTTGAATAGCAATAATACTATACGGAAAGATATGAAACTAAACTTTAGTTAAGGGCATTTGCATTTATCGAGTGTACAAAGTTATTTTTCTTGAAAACAAAGCATCACAACAAATTCTTGTGTAAAGTTTATTTTACACTTTCGATCGATTTTTTCATCGATTATGTCTTTTCTTAATATCTATTATCAACAACAACAACAACAATAATAATAATAAAAGATTATCTAAGTAAAGGAAGGATTCGATTGTAGGAACGACTCATATTATATTATATTGTATTAGTGACAAAAGTATCTTGTCTGTCTGCAGGTTTGGGCGCATATTTACGAACATGAAATAAGAACCACAAATTAAGAGAACCAGAAAGTGTATACAGTGGCAAATACATCGTAGATTGAACAAAATCTTGGTTTCATCTTCTCCCCCCCCCCCCACCC